CCAGTCTAGTCTCGTTTCGGCTAGTATTGGTACAGTGCAGTCTAGTCGAGCCTAGTTTAGTTGAGTACAGTTCAATACAGGACAGTACAGTACCGCAAGGATAGTACAAGTAGAGTACAGTGTGGTACACCACAGAAGAGTACAGTTTAGCACAGCATACACAGCAGAGTAGAGAGTAAAGTAGAGCAGAGAGATAGTGCAGTGTAGCATAAAATAGAGTAGCACGGTATCGTATGGGATGGTATGGTTTGGCATGGTATGGTATGATATGGTAATATGGTATAATACAGTATATCATAGTTGAGCACAATTCGCATATGCACGTAGCGCCAGGCCGACCGAAGCCTCGTCCTCTCTGCCGTGGCCACACATGGCCTGGCCCTTCGCTTCGCTGACGCCGAGGCACAGAAAGCCCTCCATGATTGGGTTTAGGGCTTAAGGCTAAGGCTTGAGGGTTTCGGGGTTCGGGTTTAAGTTTTTGAGTGAAGGGCTTAAGGTTTAGGGTCTCGGGTCGAGTGAGGAGTTAGAGCAGTACAGATGCCCCCGCAAAGGGATTGGAATAGGGTTTGTTTGTGGTTTCAAGCAAGGTTACTGTATGGGATGAATGTGGGGGCCTTTGAGAATGAAAACAAGGCGGTAAAGAGTTCTAGGAGGTTTCTTGTAAGGTTTCTATCAGCTCGAAAATGTATGGGCCTTAGTACTGTAGTAATTAACGTAGGGTTCTGGGATTGATTGTACTCTGATTATGGCGAGGACCCCCGAAGGAATACCAGTGCAAGTTATTTATGTCCGCGTAGTTCGAGAAGAGCTGGCGTGGGGGTGTTGTCGTCGTGCCTACTAGAGTTAGAATCACACAGAAATCGTCGGAAAGCTCGTTGTCCACCCAGTATCAGCACTTTAACGCCTGGCAGCCGAGGCACCACGATCCCATTAGTATGGCACGACCATTAACATCAGACGTGTATATAGAAACAAAACGATTGTAGAGTGACGGAGAGCATGACTGCCAGTTCCACTTCAGGGCTTAGCATTCACAGTTTCTTATTGAGGTGGGGTTTTTATGGATTGTTGTTTAGGGTCTGGGGTTGAAGGGCAGGACGCCGCGAAGCGGAAAGGTGCGCACGAGCGTGCAACCTGGCACGTCGCCCGCGAAGCTTCCAGACACCATGCAAACTAACACAGCATGATTCGGTTAGGACCAGGGTTTAGGGAATATAGAAGCTTGAATAGAACTCTAAAAGTAAATGAGGTCCCTACCCGTCTTGCTCCAGACTTTATGTCACTTCCACCCCAGATCCCAGCACTCTAGAAGTGTCTTTTGCATGAGCCTTGCGGGGGCTATCAAAGCTATGGTCCCCGTGCCACACGCCTTGGCACTCTGTGCGGATCCCTAGCGATGCATGCCAGAGGCGAGTGTGAGAGAAAGACGTCCAACTAGCGGCAGCAAGCACAGCAATCGTACTACTAGTAAGGAAGTTTCGTTGTTGGAAAATTTCCACGACCATCAGTGCCTGTTTAAGACAAGCATGGCGTCCGACGAAGACCTCTTCGCCATGCCCTACAGTTGCAGAGCGGTTTCTGTAGTAGAGGGGCATAGTAGTAATTCCCTTAAGGTCTCCAGAAACATGATCATGTACACCAAAATCCTATTCTAAGCCTTAAGGCCCGGTATATCATGGACGCCTTATGGTATCGCTTAATGTAAAGAGCCCTTGATAGGAACCCTATTCTATGAAGGCCCCTACCTTCCTCTCTTCCGTATGCTGCCAGCAATGGCTCGTAGGACTGAATGTGGTGGAGCCTTGGGAGCAGAACGTGAGCGTAGTCTAAAGGGAACTCCAGAAAAGTTGGAATATGGTTTCAGGGTAGGATACCCTATAATTTACCATTAAGGGTTTAGGATAATCATATTCCAACTTTCTGGCTTTTACTTTAGAGGGCTTCATCATCAGAAGGGGGCTCCTTTGGAGGTTGCTTTAAGGGATCCTCTAAGGTATGAGAGGCTAAGGGAGGGGCCTGAATGGTAGGAATCAGGTTTTGAGGTATACCTCTAGAGAGTAAATCCAGTAGTTCGCGAATCCGAATCAGAGCCTTCAATCCCGGAACAACAGATGCGATGCTTGCAGAAATCCTGGCCCCTAAACCCTAAACCCTTCATGCTCGGGCTTCGGACTATCAGTCGATGCGTGATTGGATAAATAAATCCCAACCGCCCGACACTCGTGCAACTACCCAGCAGGAGATAGCACCGTATTTTGCTGAGAGAAGGGAATGTGGCTTAAACGCAGCAGCTGACCTGCCGCCCTTTCGCGTCAACATGTGTCGCAAGGACTTGCCATGGTCTAGGAGTCTAGGATTGCAGATGCTAGACTTTAGCTCCGCTTTTGCACATCTTTGGCGGTCCCCGAGCCGAGTCATGCAGACCCACCCGAGGTATCCCGAGATTTCGTATTTGTCTAGAGCGCCTTCTGTGACACTGAAGCCGAAGTGAATCAGGGGGAGTGTTTCGACAGCTATATATACACAGATGCAGACAGCTAGACGGAACTCGCTCGCCAGCCAATACTGGGCTATAGGGCCCTGACTTTTCAAGGTTTGGTTCCTCCCGGAGGCTTGAGTTAGGCTAAGCGTTGCTGCCTCTTCTGCGCCCTGGAAGTGCGCCGAACCTTCAGCGCCTTTTCTGGGAAGCTGGAAGTTCCAGAAGGCTTATACAGCTCGTAGGGGTTTCCTTGAAGAATCAGAATACAGGTTGATTACTGTCAAGGGCTACTGACAGGGATACTTCTTCATATTGTACGTTCCGATCTCTAGCGTCGTTCCGAGTCTCGGATTCAGATCAACTGAAGGATTACACAGGGGCTCACAGGCGCTGGCCCTGGGCCTTAGGCTTCCTGCACTCCGCCACACATTGGATTTCCTGGTTTTGAATTAACATCGGTGTCATTCACTTCCCACGATTACGTAAAGGACCTGCAGTCTCCATTGCAGGTCCTCTCGTGTTTATCAAGTTATATATGTTCAGGATCCTACAAGGAATCAAAAACAGGAACTACGTGTGGGATCTCGCTAACGCTGTGAAGACGAAGAGCCCAATGCATGAATCGAGAAGTCGTTAGGGTTCAGGGTTATGTTTCTCTTTTCACCAAGGTTGTGACGTGTTGTGACCATCCCTGCATGGTCGTTAGCACATGCATCTCCATAACCACCGTGACTATCACCATCACCACGACGGCGGATCACCACCAGTTCTTTGTGTCGCTTGACAACGCTCCCTGGTGCTGTATCCAGCCTGAATCGCATCCAAACCATCAAAGTCTTGGCTCCTGTCGGCTGGTGGCCAGGATCCGCGGAAACGGCATCCGCAACATGGTCAGCATCACCGCCATCATCATCATCATCATCATTACCATCCTCATCCTAGCTAGGCTGCCCAGCAACTCCCGGACTAGCTTCGAGCTTGTTTCGTGCAGTGTGCTAGATGTGGCGGCCGGTGAGGTGGAAGGTTCTGTTCGGGAAGGCTTGATCTTTGAAAAGTGGTTCATATTTCGATCATTCGTCAGTGCCATCTCTAGAAGTCTCCTCGAGAAAGCAGCTGCAACAGCAGCAGCATCAGCAGCGTGGACAGCATCATTATCGTAACCTTCACCACCAGAGGCAGTTCCGCCTCCGCCACCGCCGGCGCCACCACCACCACCCACCACCACCATCATCATCATCGCTGTGGTATTCACAACCGTGCCATCTTCGCTATCATCAGTAGCCTCAAACTGGGCCTTTGCAGCCTGTCATTATAGCAGGTTTTTACTTCAGAGTCCACAACACGAAGGACGCCTGCTTGCTTCTCAGTATTCTCCATGGCTGTTTTTCCAGTTCACGACCGCGGGTTGTCGCATCGCAAAACGTGGCGTGGCCGGAAGGATTGACCAACCCGTTGCATAAAGACTGCCGACCTTTCATGGTAAAATAATGTCCTTTCGGCAAAGCCCTTGCCCTCTCCACGCCGCGTGTAAAGTTGTTCTGGAATGTATCCGCGCAGTCGATATAATATATCGACAACGTGTTGGTGAGGCCTCGTTCAACCTGGAAACCCATCCAGGCAGTGCCTACGCAGCAGTGCTATTCGAGTGAAGCTTCTCGGATCGGCTGGCAGTAGTGAAAGCACAAACACGGGCGTCGTCATTGCAGATGTCGGACGTGTCAAAATCCGAGCGCTACAACTAAAACCGTCAAGCAAAAATTCGAAGCATTGGAAGCTTCAACCTCTTGAAATGGTTGCACATCAATTGTGTGGTTGCGAGAGGTTGTCCATATCGATATCTATACATATATATATATATATATGTAGATTATTTAGATATAGCTAGAAAAAGAGAGGCACAGGGAGCCAGACAGAGAGCGAGAGAGAGAGAGAGAGAGAGAGAGACAGAACAGCGAGACAGAGTGTTCAGTTTAGAGGTTGAGCCGCATGATCTGAGTTGGAACCGACGGGCACAGATTCGTTGTGCACATCCTGATGGCGCTGCAAATCAACCGACCTCAAGCACACATGTTGGCAGCACCGCTCCGCAAGCACCCCTGCCCAAGGTAAGCCAGCCACTAAGTCTGTGCAGGTGTGAAAAACGGCCGAGAAAAATTGCAAGATGGAAGTGCTGTAACTACACGACAAGCAACCACATCAAATGCAGCTGGTGCTCGTTGGTCATATTGTTGTTGACAGGCCATGCATGAATCGCATTTCAGGTTTAGCAAGTGTGCACATCGGTTTGGACCCAAACCCATGCATGTAGCTTCAGGCATATGCGGGTGAAGCCATGGTTTGGTGTTCAAGTAGGCCCATCTGCAAGATTCCAAAGCAAAGTGCATGACACTGCAGGAGCTGAGACTGAAGCCAATCGCAACAGGAGATGTGAAGCCCGACATTGCACCCGGAACCCCGAAACTCAAATCTTGCATTCTCCAGCCCGCAAAATTCTGGGTTTCCAGATGTTCAGTTCAAAGGCATGGAGACCCGCGCCCGCCGCAGAAGTTCTTCCGAACCAGGTCTGCGCTCCTCGGGAGACTTGGCCTGTAGTGCCACTGCTTTGACAGCGATCCGACTAGCTTTGATGAGATTGGCGAGCATGTCGTCACCACGAAACCCGAACAGTAGCTACATACTCTTGCTACAGATTGCAAAACAATGCTTTGCCAACAGGAAGAACAATAAATAACAAGCGCTGTTATAGGTCCCTTATCTTCTGGGGATGTTTCCTTGGGAGTCTCAACATGCTAGCAAATTTCGAATGCGACTCAGCCACTATTTCTGGATGCGTGTGTTCGTGCGCAGCTAAAGCTTTGTGATCTGGGATGGTAGGCCGTCCAGCACAACGCAACTTCTCCAGATCTTGGGGTTCTCGACCAGGTTCTGTGCTAAGCTGACGTCTCGAGACTCTGAGGGGTTTTGATCCTTTGTGTTGGGAGTGCCGGAGAGCTTCAACCTTCCATTTTTTACCAGATGTCGTAGGAGCAATACCAAGACCGACTTTCCAGCAAGAGCGTGGTATTGCCATCATCATTTGTGATGAGTGGTGCTTGATCATTCCATGAGCCCCTTATAGCAAGAAGCTGAGTCAAGCCAAAAACCCTTCATAGCAAGATCAGGACCTGTAATCGTTGGTCCACAGACGTACTGGAACAGCGGGCGCAGCATTCGCGAGGGTGCCATTCAGCCGAGGTGGGCCCAACAGCTGTCGGTTTTGGGTGCACTTCAATCTACAACCCCAGGGTCTTCAACCAACTGTGGGTCTTGAGGCGTGGTCTCCAAAGCCGCAGTGCAAATTGAATGCTTTTAGGGTTCCAGACTCGATCCGGTAGTACCTGCAAGGGAAGCCATTCTGCATACTGCGGACACCGACAACAGCTGTTCCATAGGTCATGGCACAAGGCTTTAAGTTTTTGTTCCTAGTTGGCTTGAGTGTGTTGTTGTTAGGAGTTCTGCGAATGGTTCATGCGGCTGGAGTTTACACCGACTCAGCCGCAATGACAACAGGGCTTATGGGCAGATTCAAGTTTCAAGTCCTGGCCACTTTTGAGACGGCTTTTTGCTTCCTTTGGCGCAGCTTGTGCCGAGGCATGGCTTAAAGTGGAGCGAGGCCGAACGTGTCCTCCACAAGTCACCACCACATCCGGGCCCGGGGAACTATGATGTGAAGAGGCCCCGAGAGCTCAAAGGAGTGAAGTTGCTTTGGGGTTTGGGGATTTATTTAAGCGTTCATCGGGCTTCAGGCTTTTACTTCTGGCTGCTTCAGGCCTCTGGTCGGTGAGGGTTTGTAGGTGGCTCTGCAAGAACGCCAGTCACTAGTCAACAGAAGGCCTGATACAACCTACAAGCCTACATTCCAGACTGAACGGTGCTCAGAAACTTCAGAGCCAATTCTTGACCCCGAAACCTTAGCTCTGGACACCCGGGATGGTCAGCTCGAATTTTGCCGAACTGCACCTCCTGCACTCGTATGGACACTAGAAAGGTGCAAGCCTGCCTGTAGTGTGAACAGAGAAAACCTTTTGTGCCGTGCAATCCTGAGATCCTGAAGCGCTGCATGCCAAATCCGTTGGCCATGTGGTGTTGGACCCCAATCATCGCTGGAATGGAGAAGCCGGAGTGGTTACCAAGATTCTTCATCGGTTTAGAGGTCAAAATCCTCCAAACCCCGGTTGTAAGTATCGGGTACACTATCTTCATTCAGCAAGCACTGAGCCCTTGACATGCTAACAGTCGTGGCCTGACCGGTTTTTCAAGTTTCAAGTTTTGCCGCCGCAGGCCCATCGGTAGCATGTCGGCGCAGAGCTTCCCGAAAGCCCAGCGATGGGCAAGGTTACCCAAGAGGCGAGGCCCAACGGCACCTCCGTAGGGGTGTTCCCACTGCGGCAGGGTGGAACAAAGCTTTCGACAACAAATGATAATTGAGAGCTCCGAGACTTTGACTTGAGAGGCTTCAGCCGGGGTAGTAGAGTTGGTAAGCTTTAACTTTTGGGGGCATTAGCAACCCAACAAACCTCAAAGCTTCACCGTTAACTTTTTGGGTACCGGACAACGAAGCAGAGTTTTAGGTCTGCAGTTTTCAGTCTCTGGGCCTTCTGTCATCGGGCCAGTACAGAAGGCCTCAAAGGGTTACTGCCAGGATTGGATAAGGGAGCTTAACATTCTGTCTAAGATTCCTTACGGCTCTTACTGGAAATTGTTTTTTGTATTAGCCCCCAAACCCCAATTCTTATTACCAAGGCCCCGAAATAAGGTCCATGATCCAACTTGGCTCAAGACCAGGGTCTCCATGCTTTGGTCTTGCACAAACAGGAATTCGCTAACCTTGCAGGCAGCTTGACAGCAGTTCTTCATTCTCCTCGCGACTGGTGTTTTTTCATTTATGTGTTGCTTGTGTGCTCACTGTATCACTTGTGCTGGACCGGCACAACAGCCAACGTATGCTGCAAAAGGGCCCTGAACCCAAACCCGAGCTGGCTTCGACGTAACTGCAAGCAGAACGCAAAAAGCAAATCGCGCCTCCAACTCGAACTCTGAACCCCTGTACCAACGCAGACGCCGGAATAATTATAGAATTTCTCAACAAGGCTTACAGTATGAATTACACCAAAACCACTTCCAGTTCAAGCTCGATCAGGCACCCGGGAGCGCAACGGCCTGACCCTACGAATAGTCTTGTAGTGATGACAGTATCATTACTATTTTTAGTACTCTTGTCAGGCCCAATGAGAATCCGAAACTCATGCACTCTGCTTATCGCAGGTCTCCGTCTGCGAGCACAGACGGGAAGGACAAGCCCTTGAATTGCACAGCAACTTATTCTTGAATTCCATCACAACTCTGAGGTTGCAAGGCAACAAGTTGCATGAAGAGGACATGATATGTGACAGATTCTCTCGGCGCCATCGGGTACCGTGTAGCAGGTGCTATGGCTACTGATGCATGCGATTATAAGTGGCGGAAGCAGATCCTGGACCCAGTTGATTCAACATGCTTCATTTATTCCTCATGCTTTGTCACGTTCTTCAATAACCATTATGAGTACTCCTTCTAACAGCAGTGTCATTAATGATTACTATTGTTAGCACTATCACTATTGTTGTTGTTGCTGTTATTCTTGTTGTTACTGCTTGTTGCTACTAATTATTGTTCCTGCTACTATGATTTTCATGTTCATTTGTTGTTAGTATTAAGTAGCATGTGTTGTTTATTACTCGCTGTTTCGAGGCTACGAGTTCCTTTTTGATGCTTCTTACTTTTTGTTACTTGATTGTCGTTTCTTGTGTCAGCAAATTACTAAGTTGATTTCTTTATGTTTACTATTACCCATCATTGACATTGTTACTGCTCCAAACACTACTATTCCTGTCACAGCTGCTACTCATTGTTATCCTTTTACTCAACCACAATAGCATCTTCTTCTTCATCACATCAGTTTCTTGTGATGATCGCCATACATCGCCATCAACCTCGGCTTCACCGGTATCCTCATGTTCGTTCATTCTTGTCGCCGTCATGAGCGTCTTCAGTGCAACACCATGGTTTGGGCTGATCAATTGGGTAGTTGTGCAGCAAGTGTTCGGCTCCATATTTCGGTGTGTGGTAAAGTCTTGCACTGACAGGGCCAGCTCAGCTCTTGCCAGGACACGAAGAATCCGGCGGTAGACAACGGAAGCTCTACGGTCGGCACGTTGCCAAGGCGAAATACTTCGGTGTTCAAGCACAGGGGTCCAGGTGTACAGACTGTTTGTTTCCACTGGAGCATACTTGGAAATGAGGAGTACGCGGACCAGTCATTGAAGCATCTTTCATCATCATGACGGGGTAGAGTGGATCAACGACTGTTTCTTTGATTCAGGATGTCACTGCATGGCGTTGTTATCACTGGGCGGCTCCCTGTCCTAAGCGGTAGCATTGCAACACAGCATCAGAATTCACACAATTTCTGCTGCCTTAACTGCCGTCAGTTTCAGATCCCTTGCGTAGGGCGCCTTCCCAGAAACCTTACTTCCCAACGAATCAGCTCATGTCCATGATTTGCGTAACGATGGGTATGCCATGCCATGTTGGCTACAAGAGTGTGCCGTGAACATGTGTCCTTATTGCTTCCTAGAAACTCAGCTGCGACTCATACGCACACGTGCCACGGACCTTCGTGCCTAGAGCTTCCAGGCCAAGTTGCAAGAAGGATTCAGGTCTTACTAGACTGCCGGAAACCAGCTTTCAGCAAGGACACTCCGCCCCTGGCAAATCGACCGCGAGGAGAGTCCAGGCACGGAAGGGTGTCGGGTTTTGGGTTTCTGGTATAGATTTTAGAGTTTACGTTTTAGGGTCTAAGTCGGTACGGGAATGTGCATGGCGACACCAGAGTCACTCCTGGGTCTTGAAACCTGCCTTCCGCCTGATGATCTTTGGTGAACCGAACTGTACCTTGTCTCCGTTGCACGAAATACGAATATGCTTGCACCAATGACCGAACTACAATGGACACCACAGGTAAATCCTAAAACGCTAAATGCGAAGGTAGAGTCGGGCTAGAAAGGCTGATCTTGCCGGAAAGCCTTGGCATCCCACGGACCCACAGAGGATTTACAGAGGTCGCTTAGATCAGAGTCTCGGGTTGTTGGGTGTAAAGTTGAGGAAGGTTGTGGGGAAAGGTTTGGGTTTGAGGGTTTAGGGTTCAAGGTTTCGATCTTGAAGAAATGTTTACGGTGCAGAGTTCAGGGTTCGATGTTCGGAGAAGCAAGGTCCTTCCCCAATTCAGGCCAAACGAAGAGGATCAATGCCACAAAGCTCTGGACCCTTCCCCCAGAGCATGCTTGCGTTTGATTGCTATGCGGCTGCTGCTGACTGCTACTGCTACTGCTACTGCTACCTCAACCGCTTCTGCTACTGCTACTGCTACTACTGCTGCTGCTACTACTGCTACTCTACTACTTCTGAGACGGATAACGAAGCCTGTCCCACGTTTTCTGAGTTGACACATCATAAAAGTTTTAGGATTCGGGGTCAGGCAAAATAATGTTTATGATTATCAATATGTCCCCTTTAAAGTATCCCAACCCCTGTTTTTCTTAGTAAGGCTTATTTTTCGAGAACAAGGTAACCCTGAAATGAGCCCTCCACGGAGCCCTTCGAAGGAACCCCTATCTAATCATTCATTATGGCCTCTATGAAATGCAAAACCCTAAAACGTGCAGAAAGGCCCGGTGACGTACTGGAGTGTTGCACGGGACAACTGCAACCGGTCCATACCTCCGTGGCTTTGCTCTGTTGGGTTCAGGGTGTATGTTCCGGTCAAAGGTTTATGTAGGAGTTTGAGTTCTGCAAGAGTTGTTTGGCGGCCTGTCTCCGTGCCCTTCGTAATGACCAATACTTCCGTCTTGTTAATGAAGAGAGCAACAACAATATTATCAGCAGCTGAAAGAACAAAAGCAACACCATCAGCAGCAGAAAGAGCAATATCAGTGCTTTCAACAGCAGAAGGAGAGACCGAATCGGCTCAAAGAAGTGCGCTAGTCCGCTAGTATGATCACCAGAGCACATTGCGGGGCGAGCATGGGGTCAGCGGCTTCATCGATCTCGATTTCAGGGTTTCGGCAAAGCTTCACGCTCCCTTGTTTTCCTTATCTCCTGCGAGATCAAAGCGGCTCAATCAAGAGGAGAACGAAGCTGACCGAGACAAGAAGTTGTCCTTTCCCGTCCCGGCCGCCCCTCTGCTTTGCTCTAATCTTTTGCTCCCCGTACAAAAGCATGCGAAGCATGGTCATCCTCTTTCCACCTCTCTGCCTTCTTCCTCCGGGGCAGGGGCGGGAAGAGAGAAGGCCGTGAAGCCAAGGGAACAAAGCACACACACACACACACGAGAAAGAATGGCAGCTTCTCCTCTCTTCTCGCGTTACACGGGTCCTTCCTACGTTCTCTCCTCCGTGTGCACTGCCCTCTTTCTCGGCCTTCTTCTACGACAGGTAGTGCAAAAACCTGGGTAATACTAACACTAGTCTGTAATTTGGGTGATAACAAGATCAATACTGATAATGCATGGTAAGATGAATTAACAAAATGCCAACAAAAAGAATAGAACGATGGCCCTAAACCCTAACATATTCTAAGGATGAAGGCCCCTACATAATGCACACAAAGGAGGGTCCAGAGACGGCCGAGAGAAAGCAACCTAAGACCCGGAGAAGGAGAGATGCAGAAAGGCGCCATGGAAAGCAGAAGGAGAAGAGCGGGATATCCGAAGCGGAGAGTTCGGGAAGGTTAGAGAGAAAAGGATATTCAGCATTCCTTATCTTCCTTCCATGCTTTTCTTCTTGTCATCCTTTCTCGTGTTCTTTTCATAAGGTGTTGGATGCTGGCGTCGCTTGCCTTCCTGCTCTAATTTTGGTTTATGTTGTCCTGGACCATTGGCGAACCGTGAGGAGGTGGAGAAAGAGTGGGAGTTCTCCTCGTCCCCTAATCCTAATGTTGTCTTCACTTCAGGGTTGTAAACTCTCATGGCTTCCTTCCTCTCGTGTCGAGTCTTGCCTCGTGTATTCTGTTCTGATTTCCTACTTTCCCCCTCCCGGAACAACTTTCTTCTTGCTCTGTCTATCTTACATGGATGCCTCCTCTTCCTCGTTGTCCTTTTTTGTTTCGCTTCTCACAACAACCGCGAACAGGAAGGGGGGGGGACCTAGGAAACAAAAGCGTGGCCCCCTTCTCCCTTCGAGTCTCTTATGTTCTTGCTCTTTCTCCTCGGAGGAGGTTCAAGGATGTCGAAAGAGCGAGCAGGCAGCAGCAGCAGCAGCAGCACGAAGCGAACAAGGCCGAAGAACACTGAGAAACAAATAGTTGTCGTGTCTCTCATAGCTGTTGTTCGTTCTC